CCCCTCACAAAGCCCTGTCATGCAAGGCAATGTGTCTGCCAAGCCAGCAGCACGGACAGCAGCTCGAGGAGCCACCATGGGGCTGAACAGGGGTCCAGCCCATCAGTGTCACGAGCTGAGCGCGTCCTTAGCCTTCCCCTACGTAACTGTTGGGTTCGTGCCATGGTGACGGGTGGGTGACGGGTGTCCTGGCCCTGCTGGCAGGCTGGTGTGGAGCTGAGTGCCCAGGTGGAGGCCCTGCACGCCGAGAAGGAGGTGCTGAGGAGGTCGGTGAGCGAGAAGGAGTGCGAGCTGCTCTCCACGCGCGGCCTCGTGGAGGAGAAGGAGCTGCAGCGGAGCCAGGAGGCGGACAAAGCCTCGCGGGAGATCCGCGAGCTGCAGGGCAGGCTCCTGGAGAAGGTACGGGGCTGTGGGGAGCCCACTGCCCCTCTGCTTCCCAGGACAGGGTGTTTGGGGTGTGCTGAGCAGCCCAGGCACTGCCAGCAGAGCTGGTGGGATGCGACTCACACCAGCAATAGCGGGATGCTTGGGTCCAATCCCGTAACGGGGCTCTTGAGGAGTATGCTGATGATGGACCACGGTGGTAAGGGTCCTGTGTCCCAGTTGTGCCACTCAGCCGTTCCTCCCACCTGGCAGAGCAACCAGGAGCAGAGCCTGCAGCAGAAGCTGCTGGATGAGCAGTTCAGCATCCTGCAGGAGACTGTGCGGGAGGCAGAGGACATCCTCCGAGACGCGCTGGCCAAGCTGGACGACCCGCTGCACGTCCGCTGCACCAGCTCCCCAGGTACATCCTCGGGCACTGCTCCACCCAGCGTCCCCTCCCCCTCCAAGACAATAATGTTGCATCTCAGCTTCCTCCAGGCAGTTTTTGCTACCAAACATCACACCCAAGGAGGTCGGGGTCAAACTTTCCAGGAGTGAATTTTTAGCTCTTGTCTCAGCACTGTTTTCTCAGATTTTTCATGCTGTTCCAGGGCCCCGGGGAGCTGAGCAGTCTTGCTTCCACTCAGTGGTGCCTCATGGAGTCAGCACTCGTGCTGGCTCAGACCCTGGGCAGCCCGACCGTGCTAACGAAGCCAAATTAATTGCAGATTACCTGCTGAGCCGGGCGCAGGCGGCGCTGGAGTCCACGGACGCCCTGGAGAATGGGCACGCGCAGTACGTGGCCTCCATGGCAGGTACCTGGGGCTGGGGACCGGTGGCATTGCTTGCACCTTGCTTTTATTTTTGTACATCCAGCAGCCCCCAACAGCAAGTGTGCAGTGCCCTGGTGATGGGGGGACACGGTGGGTGGAGCTGGTGGCTTCCCATGCGCTCATTCAAGGAGCAGCCGGCAAGCTGGAGGGGTCAACACCAACCTCTCCAAGCTCTTGGACTGATCTTTCAGTGCTTCGGAGGGTGGGTTGTGGCCACCAGGACATGGCAAGTGGTGCCCCAGGCTGGCGGGGCCTGACCACGTTCTCTTGTTGGCAGATGCTGCGGGGCTGGTGGGGGCTCTGGCCCTCTTTGCCCATCTGATGGCTGACACCATCGTCAACGGCAGCGCCACGTCCCACCTGGCTCCCACCGACCACGCCGACCGTGAGTGCCATGCGTGGGCCCAGTGGGTGTTGAGGATGTTTTTGCTCACAGGGCTTGTTTTTGGGGTGGCTATGCCAAAACCTCCTCCTCTGGGAGCTGGATATGGGGCAGATCTTCCCCAGTAGCAGCATGGTCCTCCCCCAGCTCCCAGGGGTCTCCTTACTGATACTCCTCTCTGGTGCCCCTTTCTGGGCAAGGAACATCACTTGGCTTTGGGACACCAATTTATACTCTTCTGCAAGAAATTTGCTGGATGCCACTGGTGCTCAGCATCGCCTCTGTGCCCGAGGGGAGGAAGAGGAGGGTGGCAGGACTGGGGTGGAAGGTCCCCTTGCCCAGCGAGGGGCTTGGCACCGACCCATCCTCTCCCCAGGGCTGACGGAGACGTGCCGGGACTGCGGGCAGCGGAGCCTGGACTACCTGGGCGAGCTGAAGGACAAGCAGACGCTGGGGCACGCAGAGCTGGGGGATGTGAGGCAGGCGCTTCGGGGGGTCCTGCAGCTGGCCCAGGTAGGAGATGGAGCCCAGCACACCCCCCTTCCCACCCAGGGCTGGCGGGGTGGGCTGTTGATGGGTGTTTTCTAAAGGAAAAATGAAAGCAGCTGGTTGATGGAGTAGGACGTTGCCTCTCTTGGTCAGGATGGGATGTTTGCTCTCAGCCTTCTGGCTGCATCTCAGTGGACAGCTTTTTTTTTTTTTTTAGAACAAAAGTCAAATCATGGTTTTCCTCATTGTCCAGAGCTGAAACTGGAGATGCTGTGTTAGAGTGAGCGTTTTGGGGTGGCTTGTCCTCCATACCCACAGGTTCTGGTGCTTTCCTTGAGCCATCTCAGCTTCCAAGTGCTGAGACCCTTCCTGGTGGTGCGCAGGGACAGTGACCCTCAGATCAGCTGAAGTCTTTCAGCACAGTAACCACTGCGGAAGAAAACTTCCCAACTTTCCACTGTTTCTCCTCATGAAGCCCCATTAGTCTTTTCCATTAAAGGGCTGTTCACTCAAAGGCTGTCAGCTCTCCAACGCCCTCTGGAGCTCTGCCCTGCCGAAACTGCTCCTGTGACCGAGTTTTGTCACCTTGATTTGGGGCATTTCTTACCTCTGAGGTCCCTGTGCCATGTTTGCTGCAAGTTGGTGGCACGTGTGCCTTCAGCCTCATAGTCTGCAGAACTCTGCTCCTGCAGATATATTTATTTAAGGGGGAGGGTGGAAAAATGGTCAAATATCTTGGTTTGGTGTTATTCCTTACAAATACTCTCTCTTTTCTTCCTCTGCCTGAAACCTCCTGGTGGTTGCTGTCTCCTCTGGCAGGAGCTGAGGCCCAAGAGCTTAGACATCAGGCAAGAAGAGCTGGGGGACATGGTTGAGAAGGAGATGGCCTCCACCTCAGAGGCGATTGAGGATGCTGTTAGGCGGATAGAGGTGAGACAAAGCTGCAGGACAGGCTGTGATGGTGCCTTGGGGCAGCACAGTGTCCATCTGCCCTCCACCCTGCTCACCAACGTGGAGCCCAACCCTTCCTCTTGTGTTTCCCAACAGGAGATGATGAGCCAGGCCAGAAATGAGAGCTCTGGTGTTAAGCTTGAAGTGAACGAGCGGTGAGTTTTGGGGGGTGGCATGTGCCAGCCACGGGCAGGTTTCTGTCCTGTCCCCATGCCCTGCTGGGCTGTGCTCTGCTCCACAGCCCTGCGTGTGGCCAGTGCTGCATCATCCCCTTGCTGAGCACAGAGTTCTCTTAGAAGGGTGGACTTTGATCTGACACGGCTAAGCCAATTGTTTGCAGCTACTTTGTAGGCTGCTGAGAAGAAACCTGCAGGCTGTCTGGTCTCCAGAAAAGACCCATTTTCTACCCGAGGCCAAAGCCTGCTTTCCTGGATGTGGTATTGAGGGATGCTGAACACTTTTCTCTTGTTTCCCTGCAGGATTCTGAACTCCTGCACGGACCTAATGAAGGTCAGTAGTGCAGAAATGCTGGAGCATTATAAACTGCACAAAACTGTAACTTCCCACCACTGACAGCATCAATCCTCTGTAAAATCCCCAACAAACACCGAAACCTGTTTTCCTTCGTTCCAGGCTATTAGACTTCTTGTACTGACATCTACAAACCTCCAGAAGGAGATAGTGGAAAGTGGCCGGGTGAGTCCTCTCCCACACTCATCTCTCTGCACAGACATAAAATACAGGAGAATTTCCCACAATTTGCAGAAACACCAGCTCAGTGTTGTGCTTTCCCATGTTATTGGTACTCTGGCAGTCTCACTTACTGGAGCTGGGCTGCTCAGCCCCGTGCTCTCCACACACATCACTGTCACCTTTGTCCATCTAAAAGCCTTGTCCATCTAAAGATGGTGGCCCAAACTCGTGTGTTTTACACCCAGCCCAGACTCACAGGGATGGGGCTCCAGAGCTGGTTTTCTTGATATGTATTTAAATAGGTCAGTAAGAGTGGCCTGAAGGGAACAGAAATGCTCCTAACCCATTGGTTTTATAGCTTTACATATGAATTTGTATAGCTATATTTTATATGGATACTTTATATGGATTTAGACATTGCTGTACATGACAAACAGGTTAATACAGGCCATAATATTCTTGTAACAACAGGGGGCAGCAACGACTCAGGAGTTTTATGCCAAGAACTCCCGCTGGACCGAAGGGCTGATCTCTGCCTCCAAGGCGGTGGGCTGGGGAGCCACACAGCTCGTGTAGGTACCCCAGGGCCTCTCCCACGGCTGCTGCAGGAGGGTCCTCTCCAGACACAGCTCCATGTGCTGCACCCAGCACCAACCCACGCTTCTCCACTACCCAATAATCCAGCCTGTCCTGCTGCTGGCTCTGCATGGAGCATTATTGCTAATTCCTTCTAGAGCATCGTAGCCTGGGTTGAACCACGTGGTCACCCAGGCAGGGACTGACAGTTCCTCCCTGCTTGCCAAATACTCCATCAGTGGAATACTTCTTGTCCTGGTTCCTGCTCAGATGATTGTGGATGGGGTGGTTGGGATCAGGGTGGAGTATTCCCATGCTAGTGCAGGAAATGTGGGAGGCATTTTGAACAAAGCTTTAAAAATCCCATCCAGCTCATTATGGAAACAATCCTGCCTCCGTTGATACTTTATACCCATCATCCAGAACTTCTGGATCTGGGTTTAAGTAATTGCTTTGTAAATGAGCCTTAAATAACTACAGGCAAAGCTGCTGCTTCAAGCTGATGCTGATTTCTACGGGTCTGGCAGGAGATAAACTGCGCTTGCTTCGCAGCGCGGCGAGTGCCTCTAACAGGATCTCCCTTCTGACCCACACGCAGGGAGTCAGCAGACAGAGTTGTCCTGCACACGGGCAAGTATGAAGAACTGATCGTCTGCTCCCATGAAATCGCCGCCAGCACGGCCCAGCTCGTGGCTGCCTCCAAGGTGAGGATCCAGCAAGGTCATCTGCCTGTGGCTCGTCGAGGTTGCAGTAGTTCTGTTCGCCCTGCGTTGTTCCACGGGTGCTTCCAGGCAGTGGGGAGCAGGGAGGAAGGGAAGCTCTTCCTGTTCCCAAGTCAGTTTGGGGTTGTAATCCACGTGTCTTCACCGGCATTAATATTCCCACACCTAGCAGGGTTTGCCTTGGAGGTGAAGATGTGCAAAACCTCCCCTCTTCCTCCTGTCAAACTGATTATGTGAAGAAAATGTTAACAGCTAAGAAGCCCCCAATAAGCAGCTGCAGGAGCTGGCAGTGAGAATGGTGGATTTTGGTGCTTGCCACCTTTCCTGTTAGTGTGGGTGGAAGGAATGGGGAGAGGTTTCAGTGAGCAAATGGAGGATGCTAGTTGGGGGAGGAGGACCCGTTCTGCCTTTTAGAGCAGATGGTTTAAAAATTAAGAGCATGGTTAAAAATTAAATAGCTCTGTTCCGATGCTGCTGATCTGTGTGTGCTTGGCTCAGGTGGGAACAGAGCTGTTTGGGTGTCCTGGGGCTGAAGGGCCTTGCAGGGATCCCCTTGTTGGGCTGTGATGGGGTCACCAAGAATAAATGTGCCCTTCTGTCCATCTCCTCTCCACCACATGGTTTTCACACCTAAGGACCATTCTGACTCGGTGTGCTCAGTGTCTCTGCTCTAACACAGGACACAGCTGGCTGGGAGCTCCCCTGAGCTGGCGAGCACCCCTGTGGAGGTGCCATGGTGGGGACCCACAGCCCTGCCCCTGCTCTTTGCAGGTGAAAGCTGAGAAGAGCAGCAGGAACCTCGCCCGGCTCCAGGAGTGTTCACGCAACGTCAACGAGATGGCAGCCAACGTGGTGGCGTCCACCAAGTCAGGCCAAGAGCAGATCGAGGAGAAAGGTGAGGTTTTTGCGAGGAGAAGGCCGAAAAAAGCCCAACCATATCACTTTCTGGCCTGGCACATATCCCAGGGTACCCATGTGGCTTCACTTTGGCACGGGCTGCGCTCAGTGAGGACCCCCCACATTTCTCCACAGACACCATGGACTTTTCAGGCATGTCCCTCATCAAGCTGAAGAAGGAAGAGATGGAAACACAGGTATGGCCACGAGAGTGGATTTGGTGCTGCTGCCCTCGGGCCAGGCTGAGGTCCCGACCCAGACCCGTGCAAGGCAGGGGTCCCTTTCTCTGCCCCTCCAGTGAGGCGCTGGGGATGGCAGGGGGGCGCCCATGGTCCACGATGGCTGTTTGGGTGCAGGTGAAGGTGCTGGAGCTGGAGAAGCGTCTGGAGGGCGAGCGGGTGCGCCTGGGCGAGCTGAGGAAGCAGCACTACGCCCTGGCCGGGGGCTATGACGACACCGCCGAGGACGGGGAG